CTATGAGGAAAGGTTGCGGGACCTGAACCTGTTCAGCCTTCAAAAGAGAAGGCTGAGGGGGGATCTTGTGGCCTGTTATAAACTGGTTAGGGGGGATCAGCAGGCGCTGGGGGAGTCCCTGTTCCCCCAAGCGCCGCAAGGAGTGACCAGGAACAACGGTCACAAGCTGGCAGAGGGAAGGTTTAAGTTGGACATCAGGAGGCGCTACTTCACGGTCAGGGCAGCTAGGGTCTGGAACCAGCTTCCAAGTGAGGTGGTGCAGGCTCCCACCCTGAGGGTTTTTAAGAGGAGGTTGGACGACCACTTTACTGGGGTCGTTTGACCCCAGGACTCTTTCCTGCCATGGCAGGGGGTCAGACTAGATGATCTGCTCAGGTCCCTTCCAACCCTAGAAACTATGAAACTATGAAATGGCCGTTGAACTAAAGCTTGTTTGATGAGCTTTAATTCAAATGCCCCTGCCACCATTGTTAAACATGGGGATGCTGATGCACAAGATGCAGGAGGCTGCTGGAGCACAGTAATCGCCATGCTCCAGCAGACTCAATTAATGGGAATTCCAGTGTGTTAAAACAGCCTCCACACTATTTGTAGGTGTCCTGAGGGCCCTGGACTCAATGGCCCAGGAATCTCCTGTATTCTAGTCCCCTGTTCCGAACATGGCCACATTAGGTTTGGAATAATAAGTAAATACTTTTTCTGCCTTAGATGCTGGATAGTTGTTAACTGACTAAATCCCATAGAATCAATCTTAATATGCTGCAATTTTAAGTCACAGGGATTTGAAAATTCATTGCTTTTACTCTTTTTGCTATGTTTACAGCCCATGGCAATAATGGTAATATAGTGATGCAGCAAATAAAAGCCTATGTTAGTAATACAGTTCAACTGGGCGCATCTACCTGTGAAATTAATTTAACACAATGAACTCTGCTGCAGTTCAAGCTGGAGTTTATTGCTCCTGGGTGCTGTGTTTACACATGCGCCCAGGACTGTCACATGTTGAGTCAGCATAGAGTAGCCCTGGCTGGCAGAGAGCCTTGGGAGTCTGCCTCCCAGCCTGGGACTGCTGCAATGCAGCTCAATTTTCTGTGGAGGGGCTGGCTGGTGTGCAAGGGTGCTATAATGTGGGGCTAGTTGGCAGGCAAACCCATACTGTAGCACCTTCATGCCCCAGCCAGGCCCAGTCAGCATTTACATGTGCATTTCAGCAGATTAAACAACTCTGCCATAGGATAATACTTGTGTTAGGCAGCACTATCCTATGCAGAGTTATAGTAGTTTACTCTGGCCTAATAGTACTGAATGTGTAGATGCTGACATTTACTGCAGACCTAATTAGTCAACTGTGCAGTAAATATCTCACGTAGATGCACCCACTGAGTAGGAGACTATAAGGGATTGTTTCTCATGCTACACTGGAGAAGACTGTTATCTTGTAAGCATGCATGTTAACAGCTTTGAACATTTTCAGTTCAATGAAAGTTTGTTGGAATATACAGTGGCAAAGCCAAAAAAAGTGTGAAAGGCGTTTTCAGTTTTGGTGAAAGTTTTGTCAGAAGGTGTGGGTATAGCTTCTGTTGATGTGTTTGACAATGAGAGTCTCTCTCGTGATGTATAGTTTGGTGGTTAGAACAACTGGCCTGGGTACAAGAGAAGCAGGCTTGAACCTTGGCTTTGCCTGAATCCATGTAGTCTGGGCCATTCTGTGCTGTGAATTTTACAGATTAGGGGCTTGCACTCAGAATACCCATATTTCCAGGCCAGTGCTTTGTCAACTAGCCATCAGTCCTCAACGTTTTTACACCTTTTCCTGAACCAAAAGGCTTGGGTTTTAATTAGAAAGTGAACACTGTCATACAATACCATAACAAAAGGTTTTGTTCTCTTTACAGTACAGAGCAAAAAGAATTTTTTATATGGGAACTGTTAGCCTTCAGCCAGCTTCAGAGCATATCCAGTGTAGCTATGATATGGTGGACATTACAAAAATATATTCCTGCCAATATTTAAAATACCTGCCCATGCTGGAGACCCTTTGGGCTTGCTTCCTACAAACCATTTTCCTGGCTTGCATTTAATTAAATGTAGATTTTCCTAGCATAAATGAGGGCTCATGGAGACCACAGTTTGGAATCGTGGCTATAAATATTTAAACTGGCATTTCTTCTCTACTCTGCTAAGTGGCAGAATAATATGACTTCTGATTCAAAAGACCCACTTTTCTTGGACTATTTTGCCAGTGAGCTGTGGTTTTTAATTAATTGTTAGAGGTGCCTTGAGGTGGCTTTTGTAAATGCCAATTCCAATAAATATATAACTAAAAATACAGAACAATAGCAGGTAACTTTCTTACCAAACCAGAGAACTGAACACAGTTGTGATTTAAACATCCAGTGTCAATCACTGAACCTATAATCTGTTTTGATTCATATCTATGAATCAAAAATTGCTTCAAAAACTGACTCCTGTTTCTGCTGCTAAAGATCAAATTGTTAAAAACTAGATAAAATTCATCAGACAAATCTTAATTTCATTTACTTGTTTATCTGCAGTCCTAGTTCTATCTATAGAACAGCTAGTCCGTATGTTAGTATGTTTGTGTCTCCTTCCAAATGTTCCAACGTTTAAGTCCTCCTCTTCAATGGTCCTCACTAGGAATATTAAAAATGCAGTACACAGCAGACCTTAGGTTAAGAGAAAGAAAAGGGGATAGGGCTTCTTTGTATTTTTATACCATTGTGTGCAAAATATAAATACTAATGAAGGCTAAGAACAAAAATCATATGCCATTTGCACTGTGCTATTCACAAGGGGAAAAAGAAGAAAAAGATAGGTTTGTTAGTGCTTTGTGTTCTAATTCTCAAAAGGCAGAAAATATCTCACAAGACAGATGGGATTTTAAAGCCACAGGACTGTTGGTTAAAACCTAAATTTAAGTAGCACCTGGAAACTAAAGTAAATCAGAGAACAGAAATATAACATGCACCAGGCAAGAAACCTCTTCAACAAGAGAATAGTATTTTCTTTACTAGCTAATGCATCTGAGTAGGGTTAGTGTTCAGTCTATTGTAGTTAATCCGTCTTGAGATGATTAAGTGTGGTTCCACCCAATCATGGATGCTATGAACTCATTTTGCTCTATGGCTTATCAAAGGAAATAGAAATGTTCCTAGATACCACTTAAAATACCTGCATTCAGCATGTCAACTTTGTTGCAGCATTTCTAGAAATACCACCACTACCCAGAGGTAATACCTCTAATTATGCCATGTCATATCATTGTCAACTGCTTTTGTAGAAAACCTATTTTTTATGACCAGTTGCAACATGATTTTATTCATGCTGTGATGGAAATTAGGCTAAGGTCTTTAAAACTGTAACTTAAAGTATTTAACTGTCTATATATTGATATTAATATATTTTAGTATATTTTAGTTAGGTACATAATAAAGCAGTCAAGCGCAGATTATGGTGGACTTCAGATTTCAGTTTTCATTGCCTTAACAAATATTGGAGGGTATTTAGTTGTGGGGAAGTAAACTCAGATTTGTCACTGAGCTTTCCTATTCTGAATTTCCCCCACACATTTAAAAATCTACTCACTAATAAATGAAGGTGGCAGGAAGTATCACTGCACATTAGGATGCTATGAAGTACAATTTGTAAGTGACACAGATGAGAAATTCTTCCTGTAATAAACCATTGATTTTTGTTCATGACCAAGAACAGGCTATGTAAGCATAAACAAATGTAGGCAAGAGAATACATAGTTTATAAGGCTTAAGAAGCTGTATCTATTACAGATGGGGAGGGAACTGTATACTGCTGGTTTGGGGGGAATATGCTGAAAGATCTTCTTGCAATCCTTGATAACATATTAAGACTTAGATTGTTGAGCAGAGCTAACATTTGATGTAAGCAAACCACCCAAGGGCAATTAAGGTATCACTGTGACAAGACACTGCACATTCAAGTCATTAGATTCACCTTGAATGTAATAAGTGTACTCATTGGGCTGAAAAAGAGTATAGCACAGTTTACAAAATATGTGGCTTATTATTCATATAGCATCATGTGGCTTATTATTCATATAGTATCATTTACTATATTATTCATATAGTATCACAGTATTATTCATATTGTATCAATTTCACAGTACTGTTTACCAAGCAGCCTATATTTGAATGTTTTTTAGAAAAACTTAAGTCTTTTTAGAAAGATTTATTGTCCAGCCCCTGTCCACCATTCACACTCATTTATGCTGAAATCCACATTAATTCTCAATGGATACCTATTTATAACATCAGTTTATATAAGTGTTCCTAGAATTTCTTAAAACAAAATACTAAGAGGATTACCTCTTTTTCCTGGGAATAAGTTTACTGCCTTAAGAGGCAGAATCAATAAATAGTTTACTTGTTATTCAAACTTCCCTAACTAATGCTTGCAATATTTGCTTTTTATAAGAACTGATTTTTTGAAAGAATGATTTGAGAATAAGGCTCTTATAATGTAATAAGATGTAAGGTATATGACGTACATCACTTCAGTCATCAAGATCAGCAATTAAGTGACTGAATTCTGTTTCAGTTTTAAATTTAACCTTTCAAAAGTATGTGTACCTTCTTCTGGACTCTTCTCCCTGGGTTA